GTAGCGAACAGACAAAATACTATAATTATACTTAAGATTCAAAAAAATAAAAATCACATTGGACATTTATAGGTAGGGATTAAAATAGTTTTAGGTACAAGCAGTGGTGCTCGAAAGCCAGTGCAATTATAATATTTATTAACAGTCATCCATGCCACCGCCAGTGGTGTATTTTCTTTAAAAAATAAATACTGTAAAGATAGATATCAACACCACGCATATTCCGTTTTTTAGTGTGCACTATTATATACCACACTACCATTATGGGTACAACAGAGGCAACCGACAAAACACCAGCGTTACTTTTTCGTGACAATACAATTATAATATTGGGCCTCTGTTATTAGCTATAGAAAGGTATATACGGTTTACCTATACGTATTTTTAACTTAAACACATAAACAACATATAAGTATTGTATTGTATAGATATTATTATTATTGCGTGTTCTTCGTTCGAAATCTTCGTAACCGAACGGTAATTTTCGACGTTTTCGAATTTCAAATTTGCGTCCGTATACACATCATCCGAGGACGGATCCAAGGAGGGATGTCTAGTGGTCCAGGCTCCCCCCCCCCCCCCACAGACATATTATTTCTCCGATTTTTTTTTNTCAGATTTGTTAGTAAATAATTCACTCAGGTTAATACTACCAATAATTATGTTTTTTAAATTTGAAACTTAGAAATATTGACCACAGATTTTAGTTTCAAATACACCATTAAAAAGTGCTTCTAAAACACTGTTTATTATACAATTTAAAATTTTTGATTTATCAGATAAAATTATTAAACAATTTGTCATAAAAATATATTTATTAATTTTATTTATCCTGTAAATCCTGTGTATTGCGAGTGGTTTTATAAATGTCGGTAAAATTATTGTGTAAGTGTGCTTAATTGTTCGTAAAAAAATACCAACTGGTCATTTCCCTGAAATGGGCAAAACTTTTTCGTTTTCCCCGGATGTTAAAATGTTAATATCCTTGAACACAATTCCTATATACGCAGTGCTTATCTACAAGATTTGGTAACAACTCGTTGACTGGCACCGATAGATTTTAAGTTTTTACCTAGGACGCCGTAACTTAATTGGATCATTATCAGATTTGGACCTGCAACAGACAGGTTAAGTTTTTTCATTTTTCTCTCTGCTCTATTTAAATTCGTGGTAGCTATTAGTTGACTAGGTGGTAGAATTTTTCCCGTTTTAAGTCTACTGCACTGGGGACGTTAACTTCCTGAGAGCAGTATTGGGTTCGGACCAACAGAGAGTTTATATTTTGTGGGATGTATCCGAATTGGTTCCCGAGCTCATACCCCACATGCCGAATTGGTTCCCGTTTGAAAAACGTACTTTATTAAGGTGAGCAGAATTGATTCCCGCTTAATGCCAGCATTTAAACAATTAACCCAATACGTGTAGGCGTGTACTACATTTTTAAACTTGTATTTAACTTTTATCATACTACGTCGAGAAATTTAACAGTTATTAAGGTTGTAAAATAATGATATATCAGCGTACTGCCAAAATACCGTAATCGATTAAGATAACGTCAATCTATCTGGATATACGTCAGTCCTAAGCCTGTACGAACGGGAAAGGAAATGTGCGTATTTGACTATCTTACTGCGAACAGTGGGAACCAATATAATTCGACCGGTAGTGGGTACATGACAAAGTCAAACGGAAACCGATTTGAATACATCGGTTTTGTGAAACGCTTAAAACTACGGGCCGAACACGGATAAAGTCTGCAAATACGCGGTCCGTTTTTTTTTTTGTTTTTTAAACATTTAATACCGTGCGCTCGGCGCAGCGTGTTTCGTAGTTATTATTCACACAATATACGCACTATCAACATAATACATCTAGGTGCCGCTTATATAATTGTATTATGTAACAACGTATTAATATTATTCGGATGACAAATTACCGTGTGTGGCAAGTTATCCAACTATATGCTCGGCTTTTTTTTTTTTTATAGCTTTTATCATAAGGAAAAAAAACATTTGACGCGTACGGCTCGACAATACAATATTTACACCGCTTTTGTCTCGGTGCAACGCGCGTGGTGCAAGTGCTATTGTAGGTAGAGCGCGGTTGTCGTCGCCATCACCGTCGACTATTAATATTATACGCGATCGTTACAATATAACAAAAAAATTCGTTCTTTTTGTTTTCTCTAAACGATGTTTTCGCCGGTTGACAACACCGCAAACAGACAAACACATGCAGTCTTACGCACGCATATTATTAATATCGTTGATACGTATATAATATGTGATAATAATATGTACAACACTCGAAACGTTTTATTATTATTATTATTATTATTAATATTAGTATTCATTTAATATATTCAACGCGTTATATACGATAATTTATCGCTATTCGTCGAAATCGTTTTTTTAGACGAAACAAATGCGTATAATCGGCTGTTATTATTATGCAATAACACTCGTTTCGCGCATTGTCTTCGCGGTAGGAAATGTATTTCCTGGTTTGTTATTAGTTCGTGCTGTGATTCTAACGTATATTGTGATGTACACAATGATTCGATTTTTGTCGATATCCAGCTATTTTCTCGACGGGTTTTAAGCGAATTCGCAGATTTCTGTTCGTTAAAGTATAATATTGTAATGCGATACTTACGGAATCGTTTAAACTATATAGTTTAGCATTTATTTTCATATCGTTACCTCTACTGCCTTGTGCCTCTCAATATCGAGTATTATACATTTTGATTTTCAAACGAACGACAATCCCCGCGCCCGTTTTCAATACAGACTCGGTAAAATCAAATGATATATATTTCAAACACTTTGATATGAGTAACATCAGTGACGGATTTTCAACATTTTCCTGAGAGGGGTCATGCAAAATAATATGTATTTCAAAGGTGTCTGTCATTAGATATTTGTGGATCCCCCCCCTGCCAATGCACTACACGACGCTTTCATCCCAATAGATTTGGTACTTACTTAGCGTTCGCTTATTTTTTTCACTTGACATTCAGCGTATAGCGGAATAAAAATTCGATGTGTTATACACCAAACATGCAATTTGAAAATGCTTTTTTTGCTTATTACAATAAAACAAATACTTTTTACAAGTAATGGTCACTATATAGTAGTAATGAACTGCTAGTAATGGAACACTAATGGACACTGCACGAATAGTCACTATCAAATATTGTCTGATATTTCGATAGTTTATCTGATATTCCCAACCATTACGCCTAACGTTAGTTGATCCGCAATAATCGATAGTAAACAATTAGTTCGATATACAGTAAAACTTTCATATAACGGTCATCTAAGGAACCGGAATCAATTACCGCTATTTAGAAGTGGCCATCCTATAAAAATTACCGTTAACAGAAACGCAATACTTCCAGACGACCATTATATAGAATGGATAAACAAAAACCAATTTCCATATTTCAGATTTCCATAATTTTAAAACAGCGTCTTTAATTTGTATTAAATTGATGACTTAAGTTCTATGAAAGCAAGCGCACTCACATTTTCTTTTTCATAATACTCTAATTGTTAGAGCACTATGAAAAAAAGCCTAACAACTTGATTTTTTCTGCAACAGTTAGTTGATTTCGTTTGGACGCCATCATAACCACGCGATACGTTTTCAATTGACATTGTAATCTGATGAAATATAAGAAAATACACACACCCGCTGTGTCCATAACGTTATCGTTAAGGTTCGATAAGATAACTATAAACTGCCATAAATAATTCGGGCAAATCATGCACTTTAAATTTGTCATACGCTTCTTATATTATACATTCGCTGTACATATTTGCTATTATTTTATCCTATATTTTGACCGTTATTTAGAGCGCCCGCTGTATAGAGGTATTAATGTATTTTTCCGACGGGGCCAAAAAAATATGACCGTTGCATAGAGGTGACCGTTAGAGGAAGTTTCACTGTATTTGACAGTGAAATATTATTTAATAGTCTATAAATCTAATAAGGATACCACGGCATCTAGAAACTAGGAAAACCGGCGAAATCCAGGGAACACCCCTTGGACTAGTTAAGGAATTTGGGTGGAATTCTGAAATTTTAATTTCAAACTTCAACGTCTACATTTGCGTTAATATTAATTATTCAAAATTCGAAAAATATCAATGTTACCTATTATATTATCATGTATATTATTTCGTTACGTATTTAATACTACTTGAATATATCATAGCGGTTCAAAGCATGTATTGTTACGTTCGTACATTTTGCTATTCGAACCGGGATTAAATTTTAAACAAAAATGAAAGCGAGACGAATGTATTTTTTATATATATTCTTTGTTTACCCTTATAAACTGAACAAAAAAAACATCAATATCACAATTCAAAATACAATTTCATGGAAACCACGGTATCGAACTATATTCAATAGTCGATATTAAAGTATTCGGTTACGTGTTAACTTTACTGTTCAAAATATTCGAACTGCTCGATGGTTCGAAACCGTATCACTCTCAATTGTTCGTTAGTTTCTTTTATCATCACTACTTTTTACTAGTCGTTATGTACATACCGCTATGTGCTTATTTCAGGACTCACAATAAAGATTTTTTTTTTCTCCTAAGCGGTTTTTGTTGATTTTATATGTTTAAAGTCCGGAACGCCGGTTCATAACAGTTTAGAGTATTTACACTGGAGAAGTAAGAAAAGACGATTATATTTTTGAAGGTTTACGATTAAATTGTATTGTTTTTTTTTAAAAATTCTAAGTGCATACATCCGTTTAGATACCTCTGCTCAGATACATAAAAACTGCGTTTTTCGATTATAAAATTCCAGATTGATCTAGAATTTAAAATTTAAAAAACACATTTCGTTAAAAGTCTGCACTATTTTTAAACTTACTCTTAATTACAATCATAAACGTTTGTTGATATTATTTATACAAAAAAAAAACACAGGAATACAATTTTTTTTTTTTATACGCAACAAATTTTTCAATAACCTAACCTAACCGATAATGACGTTCCGCCCCTTACGGCTTACTAGTTGCCGACCAGCATTGGTCGAAATTGTCGGTTTTTGTCCGCAGCGGCTGCGGTGACGGCGGCCGTTGCATTTCAACACGAACGTTCTCACATCATCTTCGACGTGTACGACCACGGTACGTCCGTTACACCGACAGCACGGGCCGGTCTTCTCGGGAGTATTAACGACGGTGTTTTTCGGACCGGCGACGGCGAGAATTCCCGTGGCGGGCCTCTCTGCCGGCCCGGCCGTGAACAACTCGAAAAGGTTTGGATTGGAGGGACCACGTGTTACCGTACCGTCCAAACGAATGTCGCCGCCGCGATACTCTTTACCGTCGACGTTCGACGTCGCGTTTTCCGCACTCGTAACGGTGATTATTGCGGTAGCGGTCTCAGGTCCCGCCGCCGCCGTATATTTCGAAAAGCGGCCGGTCGTCGAATCGGCGGCCGTAGAAAATCCGCGGTCGATGTCCACGCCGGAAGATTCGCCGTCGTCCCGCGGCGAGTCCCACACGTCCGCCCAGCCTGGATCGAGCTCGGTGTCGCCCGCCGTCGATGCTGCACCCGAATATGGCGACGACGGCGCGGAATGACCGCCCGCGGTAGTCGGACGGCGACCGTCGTTGTCACGCGGCGTAGACGTCGACACCGACACATCGGTCGGTGTCTTCAGCGCGATCTCGGCGAGGGTCTGTCCGACTTTTGGCCCGGCGATATCGTAATGGCGTTCGCCGAAGACGTTCGGTTCATCAACTACGTTCGGTTTGCCAACTACGTTCGGTTCGCCGACGGTAAGTTTTTCCGGACTCGTCGTGGTCGCTGCAGTATGGCCGGCCGCGCGCGCAACCATCCTGTCGGCATTGGATACCGAACCCGGGAACTTCACCGTGGAGGAGTGCGGATTCGGGAGCAGTGTAGCCGCAATTGTCCCGTCGCCGTTGGATACCGAACCCGGAAACTTCACCGTGGAGGAGCGCGGATTCGCGAGCAATGCGGCCGCAATTGTCCCGTCGCCGTTTTTGTTGGTCCTCCGCGACGGAGACGGGCAGTTGCAACACAAATATTTACCGCCGTCGTTGTTCACGTTCAGCAGATTCAACACTCGGACGTCGCCCGAGAACACTAGAGACCCGTAGTTTCCGATTATCGTGCGATCGGCCCCGGGACGGTGACGGTCCGTGGCGGTTCTCGAAGGCGACTCGGAGTAACGATTATCATTGTCGTTGTTATTATTGTAACCCGTTGGCGGTGGTGGAACGTATTCGTGGATGATCTCGTCTATTCCGTCGCAAAAACATTTGCCGTCGATAAATAACGCCGTGCCCGGCGGGTAAATTCGCATCGTATGCCGTCCGTTCGGCAACTTCGTCTGGCAACTCTCGTCATCGTCGTCTTCTGCACCCAGTTTTTCACCTATCGCCTGAAAAAAACGCGTGTCGCGCGTTACAGTGCGGTACAGAATAGACGGCGTAACAATGACCGAATCGAAAATGACCCTAGGAAAAATATCTGGCCTTGTAAAAGTGGCCGAAAGAGATAAAAAAAAAAAAAGCCAGACGAAAGAGTTTGAACATTTTATTCCGTGGCCTTTTTCGATTTGGCCATCACCTTATACAATGATTATTATTAATTATTACTGACGTGAATAACGTTCGAAACACAACTAATAGACAATTATTAAATACTGTTTTATAATTCGGCTTTTGGTTAATTTCACCTTACCGTTTTTTATGTCCATCATTACCCAGACTCAAAATGGACACAACCTTATATGTTCGGCCGATATAAAATTAGGTTGAAAAAATAACAAACGGACATACTTCGCACGATTGGTGGGCCATTGTTGTAGGGATTGGGGAGGTAGGATACGATTCGGAGCTAGTTTCATTTTATGCGTGTACGTAAATTTTCCCGTTTCTCCAACGAATTTTCCAGATTATTATGAAAATCACTTGAAATATCCAGATAGAATTTACTTTCAGAAAAAGTATTACACTAAAAAATCAGATTTTTGGTAGAAAAGTTGATCACAGATAAAAAAACAATAAATAAATAAACATCTTTCTAAAATCAATAGATTTCTCGCTACGCTTCAAATCTAAAATGTACATATATTTTACGTTTATTCCAGAACTATAATATATTTGTTCGCCAATCCACCGACAAAAAATTTGCTTCATACAAATATATCAAAAACGTCTTGTGGTACTTGACATTTTTGATTTCTACGTGATTATTGTTTAGTGGAGTATTCGGGAGACAATTTTCCGGTGTCTCGGAACTTTTTATATATATATATATACTGTAAGGAACACTGGCAATAAATATCGATATAAAGTTACACTGATATTCGGAAAAAATCAACAGCACCATTTTGCCGGAATTTTAAATTTAAATTCGTATTTATTTACGAGCGCTGACAATTTATAGCGTTTTGTACCGTTTTTCCGAGAGATAATTTTCTATGGCGATGTATTTTTAGGTAACTGATATTCTAGCTCCTATACACTTATTGATCAACTTGTCACACTTTTAAATTTCTCATACACATCTTATATACCTCGCTGTACATATTTTCTATTATTGTTCCTATTTTTCGGCCGTTATTTAGATTGCCCGCTGTATAGAGGTATTAATGTATTTTTCCCATAACACTTGACAAGACAAAAATAAAATGACCGTTGCATAGAAGTAACCATTTACGGAAGTTTTACTCTATTTTACAGTGGAATATTATTAAATAGTCTTTAAATCCAATAAGGATGCTACTGTGTCCGGAAACTAGGAAAACCGTTAAAATCCAAGGATCAACTGAATGAGTCAAGGAATTTTCGTGGAATTCTGGAATTTTGACCAACTTGTCACACCCGCAACAGCGGCCTATACCCACGGGGCAAATTGTATATGTCAGGCAATTTGTTTTGTTTTTTTTTAAATATAAATGTTCAATATTATACGTAATTCGTGGTCGGTGAAGATATTATTGGAATGTATATAGATATAGATATATAGATATATATAGATGACGATGTGCGTGTATAATATTATACAATAAATGGTAGTTTAGTATAAATTTTACTCTGTCGGACATACAATATAATATAACATGACCGCTAAACGACCTTGAACGGGTCATATGTGATATACCTGTACGCATTTTCATGAATAATTTATAATACGCGTTCGAATTGGTATTCGTTATATTATGTATTATCGGTGCAATAGAATAATAATTATAAATTGAGAATTTTATGTGATTTTCCTCGAGTCTCGTATATTATATCATTATGTACACTCGTATTTTCGAAATATGAAATATTTATCGCTGCAACAGGTAGGTACCTCATATTATCATAATAGTAAACATTTTAATATACCGACGTATGGTAAATTAATTCTACAAACAAAAAAAAAAAAAAAACAACAAAAATACACACCTATTATATGTGTACGATGAAACGAATAAACACATGTGATGCGCGCTCGTTTTCGACCATCGCAATATTTACGATACAATAATATAAATATTTATTACTGCAATATAACTATCGTGCCGGCGCCCGGGCTGCAATTTTACGAAAACTTATATCGTTACGAAACGCTAAAGAAAATACAACATCAGTACCTGTATAATAATACCGTTATTTGCAGGTACTGTGCGCGTAACGAAAAAGGAAAACTATTTAATATAGGCACGAGTAAATAATTTATTAAGACCTCTATAGAATATAAAGTTTAATTTAATTTGCAAAAGAGTTAGTTGAATATCATACGTTTTCACCCGAAGGAGGGGGAAGACGTGGACAGAGCGACATAAAAATATCTCCATAACCGGTTTTCACCCCTCAAAACAATTTCGACGTTCTGGATTTTTTGAAAAAAAAGGACAGACATACTTCGCACGTGGGTGTAGCCGTTGTAGGTGGGAAGTTGGGAAGGTGGAAACGATAAACCATAGCTAACGAAAAAACGATTCTGAACGGAGTTCAATTAATAATGTTGCTTTGTCAACAATATATATTATGTCATATTATGGTAAAATTATTACAATATTGTACGTTTCCAAGACAACAATGGTTGTTTTAAAAATATTAAAATAATACATATTAATAATAACAAAAAATAAATATGCTAATGACAACGACAACCTTATTTTTAATCTTTCAATCTTTTTTAACCTAAAGAACCAGGTTTTCCTTATTATCTCGAATATTAATGAGAATTTCAAAAAATGACTTCTCTAATGTATCACCCAGAAAAAGTCCTATACTTAACAATTGGAGTAAGCTTTCTGGTAGAAAAAGTGTTTACATAAAAAATAATTTAAAAAATAATAATAAAATAAACATCTTTGCAAAACCAATACATTCTTCGCTAAACTCAGAATCTAAAATTATATAATATATATATTTATGTGTCTGAGAAAATAAAAATAAAAAATTCAATGGTGTGTCTGGTCACGACTGAATAAATTTCAGACCCGTGCCGACAGATATTGAACGAGATGTTCTCAGACGTATGAGAATGTTCAAAATTGTATAATACTTGACAAAGTAATTACACTTAAAAAGTTTTACCTATATGCTAGATACAGGAAAAATATTCTATTTTTCAAACAAATTTTAGAAAACCGAAACTTCTCTACGTACAACTGCATGGACTATCATCATTAGGTATCCGCAAAATTTAAAAACTAACTCATTACCCATCGTATATCCTGTGTCTTTTACACGATACCCACCAAACGTTATGTTATATTTTCGTTATTTGAATAATCTTCTATTATTATATAGAAAATAGACATTTGAATTTTGCCTGAATTACGTCCCATATTTATGCAATTTCATTGTAGAAAGGTAAACCAATGCAATATTCCAGCGATAGCAATTATTAAAGTGGGGGGATGTACACATACACATATGACAATTTCTTTGTTGACTACCTTCTTTTTTTTAAATTCTATTTCCGATTATTCAGCAACTTTTTATAATTGCCGATTAACTTTCCTCGCAATTTATGCTGACTCGGGAATTAAATCGTGAAATTGCCTACTCATAAGTATCATTATCGAGTTTGGAGAGGAGTTGTCACATATCCCCATGAATCCCTCCATCTATCTCCAGCCTTGGAGTTACTAGGTTTTATCACACACATTGGCTTAAAAATACAACAATATTGTATAAGTATTTGTACTTAGTTAGTAGTTTAATTTTGAAATTTAAATACTATCTTAGATTCTTAGCCAATATTACAAGGAAAAACTGAATTAAGAACCATAAAGATAATAAATACATTTTTCATGTGGGAAGCTGGCGTTAACTAGCCGCACACCAAAATTTGGAACTATTTAGCTAGATAAACAAAGGCTTAAAATTCAATGTCTAATAAGTATTTATTTTGTAATTTTATCTCGAAATTATATTTTTCAGCTAAATTAAAAGGGGAAAAGCTCATGGTTTATTGATTATAAAGTCGGCACTTTTGGATCCGGCTTTTAAATTTTCACTGGCGGGATAGATAAAGCAAATGAAGATTCTATGGTTTATTCATGAGTTTTGATTATTATTCGCCACATGGGGCTGCTGTTGAAAATTCCCGGGCACGTAAAAACCCGTGTGCGGGAAGTGGAAAACATCGGGAAACGTATACAAGGGGTCAGTTCTGGATGGGTTTTTTTTTTTTATTTTTTTTGCGACCGTGGCGCACGGACGGGTCGCTAAGTAATGCGACTGTGCGCGCTCTCTAGAAGAGGGAGAAGAAGCAAGGGCGGACGCGGGATCGGTAATCGAAAAAAGAAACCCGGTGAAACATCTCATCTTGTATCCTACAACATATATAGCTGGCAATGATAATATACCGTCGTTAAATTAACACAAAAAAATAATAATATTTACCCGTGTTACCGAAACGAACGTCGTCGCGGCCGCGGTGAATAATAATATCGTGGAAGCGAACGGAATTTTCATGATTTTTCGTATCAGATAAATCTCATCCAACGCGCGCAGCGATGCTCCTCCGTACTTATACTCTCGACGTATAAATTATATTATGTATACTCCGATGATGAAACGTCAATATTTAAACTACGTCTGTATTTGTATAAGGAAATCGTCTATGTTATAGACTTACGTGCGTCCCCGCGATAATGCCCATAGATGTAAAACTAATAAAAAAATACAAATCGATCGAACGCAATCTCGGCGACGCTATGCGATTTGGGTGTAAAACGTGACGCAGGTATACGCCGTTCTTCATAATAATGTTGTTTTATGGACTCGGACGTGTCAAAGACAATGGGCATTATTCGTTTACGGCTTGATTTATTTGAACAACGACGGGTTTTCGTTTTTTTTTTTTTATATAAAAATTTATATTCGAGCCCACGACTACTGCGCATTATATAAAATAGGCAGATCGTTCGTTCCGAGTATTATAGATCTGATATCGGGTATTATGCCGACATTTAAAACATAAGAATTATAAATATGAAACAAAACCGTAAGATTGAGCGTTAACACGTCAAATTTAGTGAAATTGTAATTTATCTTGGATTGTAACTTTTGATTTTTTTTCTATATTAACTTAACTATTCCCCTGCCCTTCTCCGATTATTTTAATAACCGCAAAGAGAATTTAATTTCAATATCTTTTAGTTTGAACTACAATATTAAATTTACAATCTATATTCATGCCATTCGAATGGGTATCATTTTCATTGTAGAGTTCCGGGTTTAAAACGTGTATAATTTGGTATATTTAAATTAACCTGAACTCAAAATCTAGGCTAAATCTTATGCACTATAGATGATGGAGCATAATAACAATTTTACATAAAACAAAATTAATTAAATAAATTGGCAAATTAACTTTTGACTTACCTTATACGGGATGATTTTTTTATCGTTGAACACTCTATACTCGTCATTCCGTAGATTATTGACCTTTCTAAAAAAAATAAAATCTCATGATTATATACATATATATGTAAAATCGTTGAAATTCCAAACAATTAAAAAAAACCAACCGACAAAAAATGTCGATGATATGTCAGTTTTATTTTTGTTTGGTTCTGAGTTATTTTAACTATAGGAGAAAAAACACGAAGAATACTACTTCTCTAAAAATCATTTTTTTAATTGCAATAATTTCTTGTTGCTTTTAGCGTATCAATTAAATAACACTATGTATACTGCCTTCCTAACTATACCTAGTGAACCAAATTCAACATTTTAAAAAATTGTTTCTTATTTATATAAAAAAAAAAACTGATAATATTTAGATTTTGGTTACATTACTTAAATTATTAGTATCTCATAGACTCTATGTAATATTCCCAATAATAATTATTGTATAATTGCATTTATTACATGAAGTTATAGGTAATCTAGTGTGCGTATATGTTGTTCGTATTAGCATAATAAAATGTCCAAGAACAAAATGTGAAGAAAATATTTATTTTTTATTTTAATTAAATGGTTGATTATAAAAACTAAACAATTTATTTGGGAGGGGGTGTGTGAGTTTTTGAAAATCTGAAAAGGACGTTGAGTAAAAAAGATTGGGAAATACTAATATAGAGCAAACACAGAAAATACAAAAAATATAATAAATGATAATAATTTATGACTGAAAAGTGATAAATATTAAATTATGAAACAAATTAAATGTTAATGAAACAATTCATCTGAGTTGATGACGCGCATGGTTTTTGTAAATATCTACAACCATGCATTCTCAAATGATTTTAAGCATGCGAATAAGGATCTTAGCGGATTTTTGGATTAAATGACGGATTTTGAATTTTGGGAAGTGTAAATACTTTCGTTTTGTACAAGAACAGACCTTACGAGTTATGATCTTATGTTGATACTCATCGGGTCAGAAAACGACTTTGTTGTTTTTTTGTTTTATAAATTCTAACAAAGAGTTAAGATTTTTTTTTTCTTATTTTGACTATTGTTTTAATTTATTATTTTGTGTGTTTTTGAATTTATAAAAATTAAAACCTTTTTCACTTTCATCGGGTCTGGCAAAATAAATAGAATGTCACCAGCATTGTTTTATGGCCAAATGCAATTTGCACCACCATAGGTAATTGAAAATAGTGTTTGTAATTCGCACAGAAATGATTATCGAATATGTATTCGATTATTGAGTATTCGAATAATCCACAGTGGTAAAATTGACAATTTTAGCTGACCTATATTACTATTTTTAAAAGATAAGTTTATCTTTAGAATATTCTGTTTCTAAAGAAGGAATTTACCAACATACACTCGGTTTATAAAATAGTATTATTACATTATTTGATTGATATTTTTAAATTTTCATTATTTTTTATATTATTACATTTTCTCACTTAAAATGATAATATATATACATTTTATTTCTGAGCTTCCTGATTATCCGCCACCTTATCTGGTAATTATTTCAAAATTTGACGTTCGATTATCCGTCGTAATCGCATAATTTATTATTTCAACCAAATAATAATCTAATAGTCTTTCCGACTTTTTATTTGTAGCACAAAAATACTAAATTATATTTTTGTTTTAAAATAATAAAATTATTATAAAATTAAATAAAATATCTGTCATTATTATTGATATGAAGTAGCTTTTAAGTCAATACTGACGTACCGTAAAACGGTGTAAATAAGTAAGTGAAATAACCACTCAAAATCGAAACGAAATATTCTGTATCATTAGCTTTCATATATCAATATACTCTATTATACTCTAATATCGAAACTGTGTATATACAATACTATTGAAAGAATAATCAATTTGAATTTTGATGCAAATTACAATTTTTATTTCTTACTACCTGAAATGGTGCAAATTACAAATATTGTATATATTTAGGGTCAATTTTGGTGCAAATTGACTACACTCATATAACTGACTCTTCACTTATTTCGTTCGTTCCATTAGATATTACTGTTTTACCGGATCACTAGTTTCTTCGTCTAATTAGTAAATTCGCATTTATTCGAAAATATAAACCGGTAAAATAAAATACATTACGATAAACAGACGTAAATAATCGTATTTTATTATCAATATATTTTTAATAACACGGATAAACGCTCAAGCATTTCAAATACTAGTTCGTTTTGAGGCAGTAAACAAAGCGATCATACGCTACATGTCTAAAGTGAACGGTTTTTGAGCATGAGCTGGAGTACGAGATCTACTTTTCTTAGCTTCAGAGGCTCTTGAGGCCCTTTTTTAGCAAATTTTAAACAGTATTACCGTACCTTCCAATAGTTTTAGGTCAAATAAAATATATTCAAAAACATTTTCATTTTTATTTTATTTCAAATTTCTGTATAGCAAAAAAAAAAACCATGATGTGTCGACTCAGATACCACCCTTCCCATGAATTTTCCACTGTATACTGTAATAACGGCACGGTGGCGGCATCAGGAGTGAGCTTTTCCCGGATCACGGTTGACCCACTCTGTATGATTTCCTATAGTACTTTCGTTATGCATACTATACGTCACACTATAAAATATACAGAAATACGTAAACATGTATAAATTATAGTTATATATTATGTTTTTAATTTAATTTAAAATTGAGCAGAAATCGTAATCTTGATTTTTAAAAAAATAAGAAAAACGTAAAAAAAAAAATAAACCAAAAACGGTACATGAATAATATAATATACAAACTATATTAGGAAAAATAATTTAATGACGGTGCGGCACACTACCACCGATGTGTGTATAATAATTGAATTTGTAAATTTGTTATCGAATATTTCAATAATTAATAATTCAATTTCAATATTTCAATATTTCGAATAATTCACATTGCAATATAATAATATATAATAAAACTATATATGTAAAGCAATATCATAAAACCTAACCTTTTTTTTTTTTTTTTTATTTGTTTGTTTACCTGTAATTGTAACTATCTGATAGGCGATAGTTATGATCTATGTTGTATCCAGGCATAAACCAAATAGGGGGAGCAAATTCCTCTCTGACAAATACAATTGTCGAAAAAATGTATTTATTAAGTATGCAATACCAGTTATATGTTTAACATAAAAATCACAAATGAAAAAAATGAGCCTCCCCATCCAGGAAAATTGTCTGGATTCAACGATGCAGGGTAAGGTGATTCTCGTTGTGCCATTTTCCCTTTCTACCCTGCAATATACCAATGGCTCCTACTTGGTCTACGAAGATAAAAAAAAACCTGGTACCTGGCACGTCATCGTATAATGAATAATTTTTCAAAAAAATTATATCGTTTTCAGAGCTGATATGAGATATTTTGTTTGTGACCTTTGTCGCATTCGTCATGCGCAATAATACACCGTATTGTTAATATCGAACCGTGTTCTATTTTTATACCAATGTTAAAAAACAAAATATCATTTCCCGGACAAAACAATATAATACAATATCGGAAATATAAGGAAAATATTGTTTATGGCCGTTTATTTTTAGTTTTAATATTTAAGCGGCGTTTTTTTTTTTAATATCAATTTTCCTCGAACAAAACGAAATATTAAAAAAATAAAATCGAAAAACTACGTGCAACATAAAGTCGTATTTTTATGGATTTTTTTTTTCCATTTACAAGATCCAAACTAAATAACGTTTTACAGGGTATTTTTTGCTCCCGTAATTCAGTCTACGTCAATATTATAAGCCGTCGACGTTGCGTTATGTGTCGTGTCACATACCTATACTCGGTACTGCTCTGAAAAAACAATTTATATTTAATTTTAAAAAGTGTCGCGTTTATATTATATTATAACGCGTCTTGAAAACCGACCCGACGACGTAATTTCGTTATAAATTGTATTTTATTCATCTTTCAAACGTCGGCCGCCGGGCTTATTTTCGGTGTGCTTCGAAGACACCGGCGCGCCTCGTTCGAATATAATACAGACGAGCGGCAAATTCAATTACTCAAAGTGCATTATAATATGTCGATTTTGGTGTCGTATGTGTTGGTGGTTCTTTTTTTTTATCTATTTCACATCACGTATACGCATTTCAGATGAAACGAGACGAAAGTTAATCGTTTTCGTTTACAATGAGATAGGCGAGACTTCTTTTTTCCTTTTTTCATTTTCCTTCACTGCATCAGGCTGTAAAATACTTGATAAAACGGAATGCGAATTTTCCCTAAAAAAACCTCATATATATATTACATCCCACCGATTAGAATAGATATAATAATATATATTATGAACAAAACACGAACAAATCGAATAGAGTAATTTATGAAAATGTATAAAAATTGTAAGTCTGGTCAAAGTAGCTTAAACAAATTATGTCTATTTGAATCTAGTGTAAAAAATAGGAGTACCGTCAAAAATAAAAAAATAAAATTGTGCTGCGTATACGTACACCAAACAGGCTAACAATAGTTTAAACAAAAATTTATACTTATCAGTATGCACCCCGCCCCGCTAACACCTCCCGAAAAGCCAAGGCCGTCTGGCCAAAATATTTAGTGTTACTGAAAATCCCGAGCACACTGTATTTTTATACACTAGATAGTCTTATATTATTCTTTTTTTCTCAAATAGTTCCTTATTAATTAAACCTAACCTAACCTTCCTTATTTATTTTTATATACTCGTATATTATGGTAATTTACTATATTATTTATTCATATTAAACTCGAGGTCGTCGTCGGTGCAGTCGCTATACCAGTCGCTATATTTAATACACCTGTCCTCATAATAAGAAACTCGGTTATCGCTGCCAAGGGTATAATTAATAGAGGGATGACGGACAATTTTTAAAATTTAAAATTTTTCAAAAAAATCGATTGTATCCGTCGTAAATACGCATTTTACGAACTGCAGTATCACAATCATCATTCGTTTGGGTTAATATTTTATTATTCCCTTATCCCTCACCGTCATTAATTTATTACGAGTAGATGAATACAGTTCGATAGGCTTAACGAAATTAATTTACTTGTTAGGTTATTTAAATGAAGGTTTTTTTTACGTTTAAGTTAAAAAAAAAAAACTATAAAACTGAATATAACGTATAAATGAAGGTATATGTGGGTCGGAAAAGTTGGCTCGACTCAAAGTTGGCCTGCTGCAGATTGTAAACGAATAGGCCTACGTCAAGTAGTTTTTTTCCCTGTCTAGCCAACCGAGAACAGTTCTATTTTTTGTTGAACTTTCGGTCGAATTTTTTTGTCCCCGTTAATGCGGGATCGTATTTATTTTTTTAGTTTTTTTTTTTTTTAACTTGACTTTTATTGGTTTTACTGTGACGTGTGCATTTTTTTTCCTGTCAGTGAACACGATTTAATTCGACCAGAAGACTCTTTCTCATTACATTTTTTACATTTATTTCTATATTGAACTTCGAAAGTCGTGCGAGTAATTTCCAATCTGACGGTTCGAAATCCCTTACAATTTTAGACCCTGATTTAAAACAGCATTATAAAATATTCCCAACATTATTCGACAGACACACGCATCACGCAAATTGCAATAAAATACGTGATCGCGGACAGTACCCATAATAATTCACGTTTTGCACTCGTTTATAATAATATTACTAATAATATTACTAACTCGAAAATTTTGTTTCCAAGGCAGAAAGCAAAATACATACAATTATATAACAGCTCCTTGGCGCGTTTCCCTAGACTTTATATTAAATTATGATATTTTATAAAATGTCATTTTTTTTAAAAAAAAAAAGAACTGATACTGGCGACGGGTGCGACCACTGTTGTACTTAGATAGTTGGGAAGGTGGGATACAAAAGTCATTTAATTTATACCTGCAACTAACAATAAACCAATACTAACGAAAAACGATTCGGGGCAAAGTTCGGTTATACACATTTTGAGAGACGTATCATATTTACGATTTTCATCAAAATTTGATTTTAAAACTCTTATGAAAAAAAACTATAGGTATACATTATACTTTATTTTTTTACCACTTAGTACGACTTGTTATGAACGTCCTGTCAATTTGTCAAGCTTTTCTGTTTAGTCTAACAATTTTATCAACAAAATACCTAGGTACCAAATAAAAATTATGTAAAAAAATTCTAAAAATTAAAATGTCTATAATTAGCTTTAAAAATAACTTGAATATCTTAATAATTTTACCACGGCTAGAAAAAACAAATATTTAAATTTAAAGTCTATATTTTTAACTGAATTATATTTAACAAAAAAATTTAAACAGACTTATTTTCGTAAATTTCTACGTATTTTTCGATTTTGCTCAGTTATTAAAACAAATAAGATTAAAAATTTAACAAAAAAGATCTCTTGTCGTTTTTTTATTGAATCAATATTTCTGGTAGAAAACATCGTGTAAACAAATTAAAAACAACGAATACGGAAACGCCGCTGCGCGCTGTAAATATTTGCCGTTTTACTTATAATTTTCTTCCTTAATGCACCAAATAAACAAAATTTTCTTTCAAGAAAGGAACTATATACGTTGGAACATGATTTTTTTTTTGAAAGTGTTATTTTTAGACATAAAATTAAAAAATAAGCACACACCGTAGTAAAACCAATAGATCCCTCGCTACGTTTTGAATCTAATAAACGAATATTCGTTTCAGTATACATACAACACGGAAGCGATGAACACGATTACTTGTGAAAAAAAACCTACATTAAGTTATATTATGTACCTACGTATTACGCAACAAGTTAACGATTAAAGATGCGGATCGGGAACTAGTTTTTATGACGAGACTCGGTCACACATAAGCATCAATAATATTTAAGACAAATATGCGACGTATATTTAATATCATTGATTCAAAGTAAAGCAAACACGGTAATATAGTAGTATTACGACTTCGTGATCTTTATATTTTCTTGTCGCTTCTTAGATTTGGGCTGCACCCAATCCAAACGTTAAAAAACAAATAAAACGCTCAAAGTGGACTAAAACAAAAGTACATAAGTAGATGTACCCACAATATTAATCGTTATCTCTCTGCATAGGTATGAGGTATTAGGATGGGAAATAAAGAAATATCAATTCGAACCGTGATAAAATAAATAAATCACTACAGAGGAGGAAGAGCAAGAATTAAAAAAATTTAACTCTATCTAAATATATTGTATTATGACCTAATGATGTCAGATTAATTTTTTATCGTATAACCATAATTTTGTTATATTTTTTTCTCTATTTAAATAATATAAACTCGTGCGTGTCCTTTACACGTATATATATATATATATATATGTATGTTGGTAAAGTGTTAGTGCGTTGACCTTTTATAGGAAATTATTATTATGTAAATTATTATCTTATAGGTATACATAAAAAAAAAAATAGATTTATATCTACGGTGAACAATACGAAATGGACATTATTTATTGTTATCGATACGAATTATTATTGCAAAACCCAAAAAGGAAATACGAAAAAACGAGTATTATACTGTACAGAACCTTTATTTTCGTCCAACAATAAAAATTAGGTTCTATCACTGGATGGCTTCCCTCCTCGTGTATATCATTGTTGCGTATTTCTTTTAAATTTTCTAATTTGCTTATTATGCCTTGAAGTATAGATTGTAAATATTCTTTTAATGAAATAAAATAATAATAATAAGAAAAAAAAAATTTAAAAATTTGATTCATTTATCGTTTCATTTATAGTTAGTTGAAATTTCGGCAAATTTCGATGACGAGATGGAAATGTTATTTAAAAATGGTTCAAAACCCGAAATAAAACCGAAGTAAAACCGGAGTAAAACCGAATACAGATTTTCATAATTTTTCAGATAGTTTTTCAATAAGGTTTGGTCAGATTGTGAGCGATTCTGAGAAATGTTTGTTTATCCTAAACTTTTTCTTGACCTGATCTCTCACCTCGCATCCAAAGTTTCAAAACACCTCTTGTCCGGTCTTCCTCTTCTACGTTTGTTTCCATTACAATATTTTCTATAACCTTATCTATACTCAATATTTACTGTAGTTTTAATCAATAAATTTAATTTAACGTATTTTACTCATACGATTGTATTAATAAAATAAAATCTTATTTCACCAGGCTCATCTTGATCGCACCCCTCCCTGACCACGACTTAACATCAAACCTACTGCCAATTACAGCCCACCGTGAAAATGTTTTCTGTACATGCCACAGCTTTTGACAGTTAAATATCGTTATACCATTGTGACAGCAACTATCCCGGTAGTCACTGTCTTTTTTTGAACCAGATTTTAGTGATGGTTCGTCCAAAAGCTGATGTTATTTTTAATCCGATTCGATCGATCGTACTCACGTATATTCCGTCGGAATGAATTCATGTATACAAACAAATGATTAAATACGATGGACTCCTCGAAATGATTAAAACGAAACCCGTCTAAGCTTTTCAATATACACTGTGGTAAGTGCAGCTGGTATAAAGCGAGACATAAATCGAATTTCTTTTATAACGGTGGAAAGCAAAATAACGCTGTGTTTTTATAACAATATGTAATACCTACACCAATGTTATACATTCGTGACGGGGTGGTTAATCAAATTTGAAAAAGAAAGAAAAAACACTATTCTGAAGGAATGCGTGTCTGAACAAGGGGGAGTGGAGATTGGAAAGAAAACTCACAAGAAACAGAACGATGGGTAAGTATGCCTCTGTAAATAGCTGGTATATGTACAATCCGACACGACGGAATTTCGGTATTATTATTAAAACCGTTTTTACGGCGTATTCAATATATTAAAACTTTGACTTGAAATATAATACAAAAGCCTATGTTATATATTCCGTTATTGTTTATTATTTAAAACAAAATTCACTTTGTAAATATGTGTGGATATTTCTAAACAGGAAGATCAATTCTCGATAAGACATAGTCAAGACAAAATCCAGTAGCTGAGCAATCTGTTGAATTTAGAAACGCATGTAATAAATTACCAGCTTAAATAGATCACCTTGTATATCGATGTTAAAACCTTATCTAGCAAGCACTAAATCCCTGATTATCAAACATCCAATAGTGTCAATGGTTATTACTTTATTAGTTTATTACAGTTTTAAACGACATTGATTGTAATCTTTTTTTTTGTTTAGTGTAAGTGATATTACTATTGTTAAAATGGCACTACGCTGTTCGGCACGAAATATTATAATATTATACTGTCTCACTCGATAGCATTTAGATCCGAATAATATTTAGCTTGTGTAGGAACGATAATATTTTTTTTTTTTGTCCCGATGTGAACAACGATCATCCGGTCATTAGTTTTTGATTTATCGTTATTTTGTATCATAATATACTGTAAGGTTTAGCAGAGAAGCTTTTGGAAACAGAGATATCAAATATTCAACATCTATAGAACACCTATAGGCGGATAGAAATAGGTTCCACAAGCTTTGAAAACGGCATTAAAAATTTTAATTTCTACACTGCGGGTGTTCGAGCTTTGGATGGTTTATTCGAATTATTTTTTCGTCGGTTTTAGGTCCCAGTGTGATTTGAACACATACATTTATTTCTCGGCGAACGTATACAGCAGTTTTCCGTACACGAAAATCCATACTTCACGTTATGGACCCTTTTTTAGTTTTGTTAATAATCGTTTAGTGCTGGCCTACAGTAGTTAAACATCTAATAATATTAAAATACCTATTTCCGGTTAAAACGGTTCACGATACCTATATAGTAATATGTGTATAGCACATGAATCGTCTTTGTCGTTATTAAAATTCTAAATGCGCACACAAATCCCAGTGTCCACGTCGTTATAGTAGTAAATAGTTAGGTGAGAATAATATTATAATAAGAACTCGGAAACGTTATAGATTTTTTTTTTCGTTCTCTTTTCTTCACGTGTCGACCGGAACATTAAACTGCAGTTTAATATAGTACGGTGAACACCTTGTTGCGCGTGCGTACATAGAAACTTTACCGCAACACCAGTTACTGGTTATAGGGTATAAAACGGTTATATTTGGTCCGCGTCCCACGCGGTTTTGGCCGGGCGATAATAGCCTCGTTTATGATAAATAGTTCAATAGACGTGTGTCCCATTTTTAATTTTTGCATTTGTTATAGCGTGAGTGCTATGTCTACGGTTTCATCGTCAAATATTATTTTGAGTTGCCCGAGAATGCGTCCGCAGTAGTATCAATGCAACTGTAGGTATGTAGGCCTATTTAAAAATTGATTAACTTAATAATTAATAAACTGGTCGGTGAAGAAGCAGCATTTTATTTTTACTCCGATTTGATAAGTAAGCAAGGCTTTAGACTACGGGTAGTAGTCGTGTGTATACGAGTAGTTACTATAAGCTAGTGAACAAGCATATCGCTGTAATTTTTTCCGAACTCTAGTTCCGAAGTAATGCCTAAAAAATGTTTGTTCGAAATTGTAATATTTTCACGTGAAAAAAATTATAATAATATAAGTACTCTAAAGACTATATGTATGCATTTTTGTGAAAATATAGTCATTTAAACATCGATCTTTAGTGTAGTACGTATAGACAATATCTATAACATTTGTCTTATATATTAAAAAAAAAAAATAGCATTTTATAACACACAATCAACCATGATGGGTGTAAGCCAATGATAGATGTTAGAATAGCTAAATATTTTTTGGAATTTAAGACTGCGGTTCACTTCCTCGTTGAAAATATGATATGTTTTCTTAGAAAGCACTCGGCTGATACCTTATTCCGGATGCACTCGGGATATTGTAAAAGGGTCTTTTTGTGACTCACTCGAGTAACCCCGACGGAAGGGAACATGGCATTTTTATCATTTTTACTCTACCGGTTATCAAAATATTGTTCATGCTTTACGTTTCAGACTACTGCAGATTACATTTTTATAGCTATGACACCAAATATTTATAAATACCTAATTCATTATGCAGATATGTTCAATTCCATAACCAACAACAAAACTATCTTTATATTTTTTAATTGTTGTTGACAAAAAAATACTCGTATATTTTGTGAAATAATAATGACAATAAATTCTTACAAATATAAAACGTTCGGCAAATTAATTACAAAATATTTTAGAAGGAATAAAAACTTTCACAGTTTTAAAACATGGGGTTACATACTTATATTATCCCATCATGATTCCCCTTTAATATCTGTCTACGAATAGGCTGTGTTCGCCTCGACCAACTCCCACGTCGCGCGTCGGTCGTTAACCGGTAATGACGTAAAATTGTAACTATTCTTTTTTTGCATTTTTGAGTAGTTTATTTTTTTTCCACTATAATTTATAGACGCTATATAGGTATATAGGTATATAGCGTCTACTACAAAAGTGTATAGACTACCTAGTCTATACACTTTTGTAGTAAAACGACCGTAAAAACGAATTTTTTAACTAATACCTCCTTTTCGTACATTTTTCCGTTTTCGCTCGTTTTTTCCGGTTTTTCCGATATATAGAGAAAACTCATAGGAAAATCAAAAAATTGCCACCTAAAGTACCACCTCAATCTGATTTACCTTTAGAAAAAGCGCTACACTTGTAAATCGGAGCAAGATTTCTAGTAAAAAATATGTTCACAGATAAAAATATACAATTATAAACATCATTATAAAACCACTCAGAATCTAAAAAATAGCGTTTTACGGGTTTTTATTATTTAAAATATAGTTTTATGTTATTTCGACGTCGTTTTATTCCGTTTTTTTGAAACAATGAACCCTATAAGTTTCCTTTTGTTATCGATACAGTGTTATTAACGCGTTATCGTTTACTGTTCTTCCGACGTGCCTTTTGATTGTTATTATATTTTTTTGTCGAGTTTACACTAATTATACTAAATTATTATTTGTGGAAATGTGAGTAAACGGTTATTGTTTTTTTAATTGTTATTTAACTTAAAAACAAAAATCGTCTACGTTTAGTATAAGAAACAAAAGTAGAAAAAATTTAGGGTAATTTATAAACAGTCGTTAACTATACGAGTCTTCTACTCTTTCAGGAAAAAATATCACCCTGTATATACGTCTATTTTTAAACTATATCAACTCGTAAACAGCCGTATAGTTAGGTGATACGAAAAAGACTATAAAGTGTACACAACGTTTCAGTACAATAAATAAGACACTGCAATACGGGGACATAACTCGTGTTTACAACTATATTAATAACGCAATCTGGATTTATTTTAGGGAGAGAATAGGGGTTATGAATATTAAAAACGGTTCTCAAAACATTTTATTTATTTAAGTAAGTTTTATCTGAATGAGGCATAGATGCCTAGATGAATAGTAAATAATTAAACTCGGATCGTATTACAATAATATTATCTATAAGTAATTCAAAGTATGCAACTATGTATTATGCGCAGGATTTATCAAAACATTTGAAATTTAGTTTACTTCAGTCTGACTACAAACTGTACTGTTCGCACGGAATTTCGAAAATTTAATTTTAAACTGAATATATGAGTAATCAGGTATTGTAAGGCCAAATACGGTAGTAGACGCGAAAAATAATTATGTAGGTTTGTTGACCCGTCCGGTACGAAAAGAAGGTTTATCAAAAAAAAAACTGAGCGTTGTACGTTATTGGTCCGTAAACACACAACCAGATACCGTTGTTACCGATAGTCCGGTATAATAATAAAATAACACGTATTTGACAAAACTGACGACGTCACCCTGCATTCACTGCGTACTAATCACATCCTTCCGGCAAGAGTCCAAAAATACCCCCCGAAGAGACGGGTACGGTGGGTTATTATTATTTCATGCATATTTTTAACTATTGTTTAGATTGAAAACCAAGCTCAGTGATTCTTTTATTATTAAATTTTAAACGAAGCTAAGAATGTATTGGTTTTTACTATAATGTGAGTTGCTTTTTGTGTCTGTAAAGAACTTTTTGAACAGAAATCTTTCTCCGATCAAATACGTTATAAAGACTTTCTCGTATCATTTTTAATCTAGTCTATGAATTATGAGTATGTTATTTTTTGATTTTCTTTGTAACTTTTTGGACAAATTGTGTTGGTTTCTAAGTTATTTTAACAGTAAGTGAATACTAAGTGAGATTACAATTGAACGACTCATAAAACTTTGCTCAGAATCTTTTTGCGTTAGAAATGGCTAATCGTTACGTACAGACATAAATCAAATTACTTTATGTAATAAATTTCCATCATTTTTATTGATTTTTACTTTATGTATATTACAAAGATTCAACTAAATGCAAGGTTTAATGCATGTTCATTTTTTAGATTTTTAAAGTAAATTATTGATTAATTATATTATAAACTTATAACAGTATCAATTATATAACAATTATTTAATTACCCAGTACGCAATCATTATTGAGACTTACACTGTATATTTGTCCAAGACCGTGGTATAATTTCACAAACGAACACTTCATTTTTTAGTTCGAGTGTGATGATGAGCTCATATATAAAGAAACATATTATTATTATCAACCAGAATTGAAAGGTGAAAACTGAAAGTATACAATATACATATTTTAATGATATTAGCGTTATGTATAAAAAAAACGGGCATACTACGCATATGGGTGAACCACTATTGTAAGCGAGAAGTTTGGAAGGTAGGAAGGTAAAAGGGAATTTAATGTAAATACTATCTGCAAGCAAAGATTAATCATTGCTAACAAAATATGATTCTGAGGAAAGCTCGGCTAATAATATTGCTTTTGCAACAATATATGTGTCATATTAAAGTAAAATAAATATACATTGAAACAATTTGTATTAACCAGTAACTATAGATTTGCTCCACACAATTTTTTACCAAAACGATTTTCGTCAAAATGTTATATTAAAATTCTTATAAAATTAATACACCACATTGAATTCATTTTTTTTCGTTTGGCCACAAAGTACGACTTACAATTAACCTCCTGTTCAATTATCAAGCATTTCTGTTTAGTCTAACAATTTTGTTACCACAGAGTACCTACCAAATAAAAATTACTCTCCAAATTAAAATGTCTATAGTATCTAATTTATTGATGTAATAGCTCAAATATGACTCAAATATTTTTTACAGATTATCACGTCTAGAAAGGGCAAGTATAAGTTTTCTATCCACATTTTAAGTCTCTACGAATATTTTAAACTGAGTTACAAAAAAAAGCAAAATTTAAAATAAAAGTATTATTTTCGTAAATTTCTCGTTTTTCTTGCGTTTTATCTCGGTTTTTCCTAGATATTATGACAACCGCTTGGAAAATCAAAAAATTATCTCCCTAAAGTACTATCTACACATTATTTCCTTTCAGAAATGGTGACACACATGCAAATCGGAGCAACATTTCTGGTAGAAATGTTTGTTACATTATAAAAAAAATAAACACCTTTATAAAACCAATACATTATTCGCTATACTCAGAATCTAACATATGTTTAAATATTATAATAAATAAATAAATGGAGGCCCACCTACCTCCTAAAAAAAATGTCGCCCAAGGCAATGATCCCCCACCAAATAGGCTTACTCTGAAAATGCCTCTAGCCGGAGAAACACATTTTTAAAGTTTTCACTCTGCTATTCACCTGAAAGTTAGTTCGGGTTTATTTAGAGTGACGCCCTTCGATTTTCGGTATATATATATACAGTTTTCCTCCGCCCACGATGGTTTTTCCGTTTTTTCACGAACTTTTAACTGTATTTGGTAGAACGAAATTTGAGGTTAAACGATAAATGATGATGAAACTAGCGGGACCTCCCCTCCTCGTTATCCTGAATCGATTGTTTATCTCAACAACATTCCGTCACGATATTTTACGAACAATCCATCCACCTGATCATTTAGTGCTCCCGCGTTAAAAACGGGCTCCTCTGAAAAGCGAAATTCGAAATTTGTTGTACTGTACCCGAGAGAATGGGAAAATTACTCCACCAGTCTACCAGAGAAATGTGATCGAAATAATTGTCCATATTTTCCGACTTTCGAAAACGTTTTTAATTTTCCGTTTTTTAGCACATTGTTTCAATCGATGACAGTATGATTTATACATTTTTCTAAAAAAATATCATTAAATGAGGAAAATTATTAATTTTCTATACTTTCAATTATTATCAATTATAATTATATAACGGTTGCACCCAAGTCGATTTGTCTAAATTTCCAAATTACTGGGAAATGACCCCCGGTGAACCCCCTTATCGCCGGTCCTGGACTCGACTGGTTATAAAATTGATCGCGGGAGGCCGGCGTACGTCACTGCAACCTCGCCCGGGGGGAAGGGGTGGTGTGTGGGGAGCACGACCTTATCGACGGGCGTGTTTGTTTTGGTCGAGAGGCCCGGGCCGACGACGACGTTTACACGGCGAGGCCCGTGCGGCGCGGCGAGCCAACGTTTACACGGAGGAGCCCCGGGGACCGGACAAATATTTGCTCTCTGCGAACGCGCGCACGTACGAACTGCGCCCGGAGACTCGGGAGGCTCGCGGTGTCGGGCCGCGGCGGCGCGGTACGGTAAGCCTGTGACGAGGAAGGGAGGGCGAGGGGAGGCCGATCCCGTACTTTGACGCTGCGTTGCCGGTACGTGCCCGGATGAGGCGAACACCGACAACGTAGCGCGCTCCGCTGCGCAGCGACCGCCAACGTCCGGCGCAGTTAGCTACCGTCGCAGCCACCGCAGCTCGCGACGGTCGGAAATTTTTCTCCGACCGTAGGTATAAACGGATTTTCGCGTCTCCCGTTATAATCGAATCCGGTCCGCGAACCGCAAAGAAACGTTTTTTTTTTTTCTTTCGGGGGGATAACCGTTACGCTTCCGTTATACAGAAAATCGAATGCTATTGTTTACATACACACATTATATGAAAACCCCTAGTCCCGTCTCGACAAAAGAAAATACAAAAAATTGATACTGATGACCATCGCTATTTAGTGTGGGAAATTGAGATGATACCATCATATATACTCTATGTAGGATATACATAGAGTTCTTAATTTGTATCGGTAAATGCAACGATAAATCATTGCGAACGAAAAGTGATTTTGGAAAAAGTTCGGTCAATACGTGTTTCGAAATTTCACGATTATTACGATTTTCGTCATAATGTGAACTTCAAAACCCTTATAAAAAAATTACTACTGCGTTATAAGTGCTTTTATTTTTTTTAAGTACAGCTTATGATGAAACACTCGTAAAATTGTCTGGAATCCACATAACACCAAATAAAAACTAAAAAAAAGTTAGAACATTTCAAATATATATAAAAGTTTAAAAATGAACCCGAATTATTCAAAAATTGTAATCGTCTAGAAAAGGTTCACCTATATTTAACGGTTTTCCCACATTTTTCCCAATTATTAAGAAAACTACAAGTGAAATAAAAACCTCCTAAGCGCACCAGCTAAATACAATTAGCTTTTAGAAAATATTCTACACTTAAAATTGTTGGTGAATAAGTTATTCGCAGACACATAAAAAAAGAATACTTCATAGTGAAACTAATTACATTCCTCACTACGTTCGGAATCTAAAAGTGTTAAACCGAGTCACTCGTCTACGAAATCGACAATATTCTTCGATAAAAATAATCGAATACTATTCAGCCTATTTGTAACATTATTTACATAGGTTTCGGATAAAAATAATTACACTCGAGACCAGTCATTTCACCTTAAATAAGAAAGGGGACTCAGTCTCCCTCCGTTCCTCCCACTTTACCCGTTGCTGTATATTTGATAAACTCATAGTATCAATTTGGCAAGTGCCCCAGCCAAATTCTTCACCCTCTTTACATTCGTCACCACGTGCCTAGTGGTGTGAAAAATGGGTACCGAATTGTATTGGCAGTTTTAAGGCCAACAACCTGGCTAAACTTTGGTATTAAAGATTTAGATCGACTCAATTAATAATGGACCGGACCATCTAAGATTGTCTCGTAGACAAGCATGTATGTATTTTTTGACATGATATTTAATAGTTCACTATAAGTAAATACCTACTAAATAGTACTAATCCATTTATTAATATTGATTATTACTAAATACCAAATGTCTATTGTCGACATTCTTCTCGCTAACTTATACTCACTCACTCTGCAAGTTCTACCACGGTGCCATGGTACTGCCTATAACGCAGGACCTATTTTTATGTGTAATACAACACCTTGTAATACGAAATCCGACGTCTTTGATGGTTATTATGTACTATAAATCGTGAGATTGATACACCAGCCAGTATCGACATGGTATTGACCCCCCGCGGGTCTGCATCCCAGAAAAATAAAATGTGTAGTACGAAAAATGGGACAAAAATATGCCCTGTTATAATGATTGTCAATCGTATGATGTTTGTCATAAGTATACTGGTGTTCTCGTTATATTATTATCTTCTTCAGAATATTAGCAATGTTACTTCGTTAGTTATTTTAGGTTAAAAAAAAAATTATTAATGTCATCACTTCGAAAATACGTTTTAAATTATTTGTTCTTATTTTTAAGTTTCTAATTTACAATACCTATATTATATATTCCCGTTGTGTCCATCCGTCCGTATAGTTACGGTTGTTGATTTGGTTGACAAAGAGACCCATTATTCGTAACATTATTATTATTATTCACCTTTACCTTCATCCCAACTATTTGGGGTCGGCCACCCTCGCTCTAAACTTGCACTTGATCTAAACTCCCACCTCGCATACACAGACTGTTCTCCTATCGTTTTCAATCGCATCCAACCACTTTTTCAGTCTTCATCTCGCCCTTTTTCTTCCTACTTTTGGAGGTATGAAATTATTATTAATTATTTAATTAATATAAATTCGCGTCACATAATTATTAATTTAAATATGAGTATTATGGGCATTTTTGACGGTTTACCAAATTGCCTCCAATTTTGGAAAATTTGAAAACATATTTTTACATTTCAATAATCGTCTTAATGATAATACTGTTCCATTAATTTACTGTCAGATACCCATTAAAGGGTTACAGCCATTTTTACGGATGAATATGATGTTTCAAACCGATAACATTTTATGATCTTCTATAATTCATTATAATTATTTTTTAAATTGTACTTATCTTTATTAAATTTTTAAAATATACAATCAAATTTTGTTATGATTTCCGGTAAAATAATTAATCGTTTTTTTTGTTTAAAACAAATATCCATCAAACACAATATTTCTATATTTTTGTCTGGCTTTAAGTCCACGTAAATCAACTAAAATATACACCTACACTAATTCTTTTAAACTGCATTAATACTTGCCAATATAAATAGTACTTAATGAATTTTAAAAATTTTCTTTAAACTATTTACTAATAAATTAATATTTTTAATTTATTTAGACTTCTACTTTCTACACAACATAATATACTAGTTTACCGAATTCTTTCGAAATTGTATATGGAATTATAGTTTATTGTTTAAAAATACGTTTAGAAACCGGGAACTTTGTTCGCTCGTAGAGAAGGCTTTCCAAAACTTATTTTATTATGTATATCGCCTACCGTGCGTGTCAATATAGAACCTAATTAATAATTGCCGACACTTGACGATTATAACTTTTACTGATGTGCACCTGTGTATTTATGAATTATTATTATATGCACATTTTCAACTATTGTTTAGATTGACTACCAAGTACGGTTACTATTATATTTTTTTTTGTTTTTAGATTTTGAACGAAGCGAGTTATGTATTGGTTTTACTATGATGCTTTTTTTTTTTATTATTATTTTGTGTCTGCAGTAAATAACTTTTTTGTTAGAAGTTTCATTCCGATCGAAACATGTTTTTCTTATATCATTTTTGATCTAATCAGTCCATTTTAGGGGTAATTTTTTTTTTTGTAGTTTTCTTAATAATAAATGGGAAAGCCTGGTAATTTTTTGTACAATTTGTGTTAGTATCTGGGGAATTCTGGACAACAAAGGAAAAATTATGGCTCTGCTCAAAATCGTTTTTCGTTTGTAATAATTGACCGTTGCTTACTGATATAAATCATGTGACTATTTAACTTTTTTATAATTTCCTAAAACAGTGGCTTATCCATTAACAGTGTCATTTTTTTATTTATATTATAAGCTAAAAGTTTAAAAGAGATTGTTTTATTTTCAAGTACAAATTTGTTAATTAGTTAAATTATTAAACTTATGATGTTCATGGTACGACAATTTCATTTTTTATACGTGACTCAATCTAGTTTTAACAAAAACTAATTTTTTCATATTGACTGTTTCACTTAATGTTCACTGTGTAAACATATACTGTGTAAGATATTTTATTTGGTAAAGGGAGGAAAGGGGTTAGTTTTAAACTTTATTCAGGTTCACACAATTTGTATGAACAAAGGCTTGTGTGGGACATAAAGGCATTTTCAGATTTTTAGGAATCCAGATGGCTTTTTTTTAGCACCAATCCCCCCGCCCACAACAAATGTCATTTTTTTTATTAAAAAAAATATTGGCAAGTAATTTTGTTTTGTTTTTGTTTCACGCACGTTATACATATTTAACTGACAGCAAGATAGATAAACACTATTTAGTTTTTCAAAGTAATTTATGATATTGTGTGTTATAAACTTATAATGGTGTTATTTATATAACAATTATTTATTACTCTATATACCTATTCTCTTTTCTAACTTTCGTCATAAAACAGTGGAATCCATCAGCAATGTGAGCCGTTTTGAAATTTTTTTTGTTACTGTAATAACATGAAAAATTTAAAATGTATACCACCTGTGTATTTATGAATTACCTGCTATACTGTTGTTTTTTTTTTTTGTTTTTTAGTTTAGTACCTACTTCTACCACTTACTAATCATTTTTATCGCTTTTCGAGAAAAATACGGTTATGTAAAAAAGACCATTCACATAATCATGATTTTTTTTTCACTGGACACCGGGAATCGTTTTTCTCCCCTCGTATACATCACTACGGAGTGTTATTGCTGTTTTATTCGTATTTTTTTATTATTATTATTATTATCACTAAGGAAGAAATACTTGTTGCAGCCATCACCGTGAATGTTGGTAAAAATCACTGTACTAACTATACGTCATCAGAAAGCTTTAAAAAAAAAAACTGGCTTTTTAAATTTCTGATTCCGTAAATATAATCATACTCGAATGTTACACAAATCCGCGTGTATGGTACAAAACTACAAAACCGTTACAAATCACGCCAGACGGATCCGCACGACGAGGTTTTTCACATCACATCATGGGTAATTTTTACATTATTACACTAATTTTACTATGGGTATCAATTTACGAACTGTCAAAAATCCGAACATTTATATTCACAGAATATTCAAAGTTTAAAAATGTACGTCAGTCATTGATCAGGCCTCGTATTTTCTTATTCAGACCTAACGTGCGTATATAACCTTTTTCCTCCTGCTGCTGCTCAGGTTTTATATAAGATTCTTTTACCCAATTTCGTTGTCAGTCACCTGATTCGGTGTAATAAGCCATTACCTGAAAAATATTTTTACCCCCTCCTCCCTCCCGTTAAAAATAAACTACAATAATTTTACCCCCCGGTAGAAATACCCAGAATTATTCTTACCCCTAGCTTATTTTAAAAAAGGGGTAAAAATATACTAGAAAATTCTTACCCTTGGGGAAAATATTCGAGGATATAATTAGTCCTTCTGACAAAAATTTACTTCTATAGAGGTATATATTTACCAGTGTATTTTTATTACCGGGATAATAATATACTAGTACGTAATTACATATATTCTTATCGTCCATCCCGATAAATATAAGTGCTTGGTTAACAGCCAATGAATATCATAAACAGGGGGATAAGAATTTACCGTGTTATTCTTAAAAGAATACGTCCTCAGTAAAAATGTACATAGGCGGTAAGTATTTCCTAAAGTATTTTTACTAGATAAAACTTTATTTTTACTTCGAAGGGGTTTAAATATATCCTTTGTCATATTTACGTCCACGATGGGGGGGGGATATATATCTTAAGTTTTTTAACCTCTAAGGTAAAATTTGTTAAATGGGGTGAATATAAACTAAGTTATTATTATTACAACTACGAATGAAATAAACTGGGGAATAAGAATATCCAATGTTATTCTGACGTCACCGATAAAAATGCACATAGGAGCGTTAATTATATTAACGCCAGGTGCAGCGTTTTTATGCTTCAAAACAAATTTTGAGGGGTTCTGACCTGGTTCTTGATAAGTGGGTCTTAAATTGATAAAAATATTTCGTTTGGCTTCACAATAGTTTAATCAGTTCGGTACGACGACGCCACTGGGCCGTCAACCATCATTCGAACAACTCACGACTCATGAACAACAAAAAAAAATGACCTCATTGAACGTTCTTCTTCCTTACTTTCTACATAAAATACCATTTTTATTTCGAGTAAAATAATGTAGAATTTGTATAATGATACAATTTTTCAATCATCTTTTTAGTATAAATTATGCAATTATTTTTTGCCAAATAATAATATGTAAAACACGATTGATTTGTATGTTTTTACGGTTTTGTCATCATTAATACTGCGTTTGTATTGTTATTTCTTTTTTTTTTTTAGTAAATTTCCCACCATTCTGAAAAATCGTACGGAGAGAAAATTCCATTTGCCGACACTGCGGGTGCCGTTGACCAAAGGGAGGAAACATATTATAAGAGTTGTAACGAGAGAGGGCGGTGTATAGGAAAAGGAATATTTTTCGATATATATATATATATATATTTTTTACCTTGTTTACTTTGATTTTTATCAGAACCGCCTTTCGCAAACGAAATTATGTATTTCCTATATATATTTATAAGGGACGAAGCGGCGTTGAATAAGTATGAAACGGGAAAAAAAATCACACGAGCGTTTCGGAATACGATTTTTTATTTTTTTTTTTTTTTTACAACTCGTCAAACTAAATCACAGAAGGGCTTCGTGGCGTACACTCGAAATAATAACGAATGTCGTTTTCGTACGCCCGCGAAGACAGTTTGTTTAGAATTCGAAAGGCAGGTACCTATATTATATTTTTGTGTCAATAAATTCACGTTTATCGAACGCGTATCGGTCGGTACTCGACATGTCGTGAAAATATTATAAACGCCAAACGGGTATAATACATAAGAGGACGTGTTTTTACTCGAGTTGTCCGCAAACATAATATCGAATCGTCGTCGCTGCCGCCGTCCAAAGTTGTGCGGTAAAATATTTATATTATTTTTTCCAGGTACTCGCCAGACAAAAAAACATTTCGTAACAATCGACGAAAAAAATCTATACGTTTTTCCGTGTAAAACTCAGTCCGAGCCAAAACGACAGTTACTGGCTATCGCGATAGTTTGCGAAATTCGCAGTTTTTATTGCGTACTATACATAATAATAATATATGTTCGATGTTGAAATTCTGTGAATTTTGTAAAATTTCTTAGAACGATTAATATTAAAAGAAACCGTAATAACACAAACAAAACAAATAAAAAAGGCAGTCATAATAATCTTCATTTAATTAATTTACAAATAATTTTAATATATTGTGCATTAATACCTATATATTTTTTATCGATAACAATTTTTGAGAAAATTATGAACAACAAAGAAGCATATAATATTTAGCGTTTCGTGCGGTAATGAAACTAATAATTATTACTCGAATTATTTGCGTTATGTACTTTGTTAGCATTTAATTGCAAAACCACGAGCGTTGATCTAATAGTATGGTAAAAAGAGTGTTCAAAAAAAAAAAAAAAATCGAATTACAAAATAACGGAGGAGAAAACGTAGGAAAATATTGCTAATAATATAACCACGAGAAAAAAAGCGATAAAAAAAAAAAAATAAAATTATTACGCAATCTGAAAATGTCAAGAATTAAATAACGTGTATCTTAAAAGACTTGAATTAATTCAATGTTTCGAACCAAGGTTAATATATTATAGTCGCACAAATTAATACCCGTACAAACAATTTCACTAAAATACGCTATACTTGTTATTATGTTAATAATTTTTAATTTTTTTCTTCATTAAGTGTGACGAAATTAATAATAACGGATGAATGTTCATCGTGACTATCAAAATAGGTACTTGGTAATGAAGCAAATCAGCATCGAGACGAACGATCACACACTATATTCGAACTTTTTAGATAGTTTAAATTATACCCCTCGATATATTAATTTTATCTGTAACAATCAAATACTAATTAGAATGAATAAGAATATTTAACGGAGACTTAAAGTCAAGTCATTTGATTTAAATTAATATCTTTATTATCTTGTCTGGTTTTATTCAAACGTGACAAAGAAAATGTCGCTAGTGTACAAAAGGTTTACAAGACAATACACAATTTAGGGCATTACGTTTTAGTATAATTACGTTTAACAAATGTAGAATGATTATGATCGATTTGTTTGATGATCTCGACAAGTTATTGATCGAATCTTATTCACAATACAATTTATAACTAAATTCTTTGAGTTGTGTATTGATAGCAAAATATAATGTTGATTATTTGTTTCCTCTATCAATTTAATTTTTGATAATAGTATAATTTTTGATTATTGCCAAAATGATTTTATTTTTATTATTAATAATGTGTGGAATGCAAGCATGCAACAAGTTCTTGGACAAGTATACTGAAGTATCAAATAGAAATATAGAGCCGATTTTAAAATTCTCATTAAAATTCCAAATCGGGGGATTCTTCAATACTTTAAAACAGCGGTTCCCAAAGTGTGCGACGTGGCATTTCGGAATGCTTTAGTGTTTTCACAGGAACAATGCGTCGCCATTTTTAATATTTACTGGTCTAAAAATAAATTTAAAATCCAAATGACAGCCGAAAAGGCCGATGTTCTTTTTTTTTTAAATTTTTCTCAAAAGACACTTTTTGGTTAAATACGCCAAATTATTCGTATTTACCCTGAAATATGTGAGATAACCACTAATACTTCATTTTTTTTTTTTTTTTTTTTTTAAATGTCTAGATTTTCAACACTTTTTCTGTAAAATAAAAAAAAAACTGTCAACAATTGTTGATACATCGGTTTTATTTACCTTAAATATCTTGACTATACAGCGGGATAAGCATCGTGACTAATACTACTCCGATCAGAGTAGATTTTTGATTGCAAGGACGTCCTGAGAAAATCTTAATTCGAAAAAAGAGCCATGAATCGAAAAAGTTTTGGAAACTCTTATATTTTATATTACTTACATTATAACTCTTATATTTTTTTTTACTTAAAATTCTTAAAAATAATCTTTAAGAGACTGAAAACGGTTCAGCATAGTACTAAATGCCCATTATGAAAATTGCAAAGCCTTCAAGGCATTGATAAATCCATTTTATTTTTTATTATAATTCAGTTAACAATATTCGTAAAGTCTTAAAATTAAGACTTAGAACTTATATTTATCTTTTCGAGACGCGAAAAAATTGTTGAACTAACTATAGATATTTTAATTTTGTGAGTTTTTTAACGTAATTTTTATTTGGTAGGTACTCTATGAATAAAATGTTTAGATCAAATAGAAATGCTTGAAAGTTTAACTGAAGGTATTATAAGTCATACGTTGTGGTATAAAAAATAAAAATTGAGCGTTATGTTGAATTGTTTTTATAAAAATGTTAATATTGTTAAAATATTTTTTTCCAAACTCCGATCAGAGTCGTATTTCGTTATAGCAATGATTAATCTCTGCATACAGATAAACATTAAATTTCTTCTCCATATCCTACAATCCCAACTTCTCACTATAACAGTGTCCCACGCATCGTGTGAAGTATGTCTATCTTTTTGTTTTCTACGTTAAATCTTTTTTTTCCTATTCCCCCTTTTTTTTTAATTTTCCAATGACAATTATTTTTTTTTTTAGTTTTACATTTTCCCCGCAGGGACTAGATTTTCCGACATTTTATTTCCTACACTAGCGTTTTGGGAGCCTACGCTTTTTTTAGTTTTACACTATTATTCTATTGTCGAGGAACCACCATAATATTATTTTATGTGTATAATAGAGGCTATTACCACGGTGCTGGCGACGGCGGGCGGATGCGGACGACAGTTTCTGACAACGTGGGAACGGAACGATCCAGTTAAAAAAAATTAGTCGAGTAGAAATGAATTTAGAAAAATACACCGGGGAATTCTGTAATTCAAACATTGTGTTTGTGTATACGATGTGCTAACAAAACGCAAGTGGTAATCAATTAATTCGTGTTCCATTAAACACTGCTGCAGTTGTCGTTATGAGCGAGTCGTTTACTCGGTGAAACTTGGGTAGGTATAGGTACCTAAAAAAAGTTTCGTGGAAATTTTGACCGTCGTCGTCCACGTTTTTTTTTTTTGAAAACCGAATCGATTATCAGGTGATTATGTTTGATTTAAGAGGCCCAATTCCAGCCTGTTTTTCGTCTCAAAAACATGCTTTACCGTAAAAACATTCATTATGGGATCCAATTGCAATGGTTATTTTTTATTGAAAATATAAAGACTTTTACAGACCACGTAGGACTTCTTTTTTCAATATTTTTCCCTCCAACTTTATAATATGTATTTAAAAAATATGATCAATTGTTAACCTTTTTTTGATATCTTTACAATCATTAATTTTTAAAATCAAATGTAAAATCAGAGTTCGATATGGTTTGTAGAATATTGTTGTGAATCAACATCATTCCTGTTATTATTCTATTCTCTTTTCCTGTAAAATCATTTTCGTTCGTAAAACGGGCATACCCTTTTTTCCTAAATCTCCATTAGGGAAAATCTCAATTAGTGGTAAAGTCTTACCTTTTAAGTGATCATTAACATTTCAAGAACAAATTGTACGAAATTAGAGAAAATTTGGAAAACCGATACCGGGCTTCTTAATTCAATAATATTTTTCAAATAATAGTTTTTGGCATTCTTATCATTAATAATACTACATTAATACAGCGTCGGCCATAAATTCCCTGTACGTTCACGTTTCTCTTTTTATCGCTCTTTAATCACGCTGCAGTTCGCCACGCTCCAGTATAAAAATATTTTATCATATTAAACGAAATTATTTATTTTTAGTCGTTTGTTTTTGTTTTTTTATGATTTTTTTGTAATTTGATATAAATTCACCGCCGGCCGTTGCTACGGCATCGGACCGCAACGAACTTCTATTAATAATTAGTTATATACTATAAAATAACACTAAATTATATCTTTTAATAAATTTAGTAATAAGAACCTGCTCGTTTAACGTTTTATATTATAAAATGTTAAACATAAGTATATTATACTTACACGAATGATGTTGACGAAAACAGGTCTGTTTCGATGTACAAGGTGATCCATTTAAATAATTTAACATTATCTCGGGAAGTATTAACTTTTTTCAAAATTTTTATTTTATTTAAATAATAATACCAACACATATTTAAACTAACACTCATTATATTCATGCAATTTTCCATACACATTACTATTTTAAAGTCAAAATTAGATAGTCGTTTAACTCCCAAAAATAAAAAAAAGTGAAAAAATAATTATAATGTGACATTTAGAGCTGCTTATTTTTTTTATTTTTAATTTATGAAAAAACAATTTTATTTTCCGAAATAATGAGTGTAACCACTTAAATGTTCGCCTTGTACAGTTATTATTTTTTATTAACCATACTAAATTACAGTTACTATCGTGATAGTTGAGAACATCACCCGGGAAAGTCATAGTAACTAATCAACTAACTGAATTTTATAGACTACTAAGTTATTTTTATAAGTTTTTCAACTTTTAAATGTCTGTATAATCATATAGGGAAAAAAAACGTAAAATATATAGCAGTAAGTATACTTATGTAGAGCATGTCGAAACACGCAACTAAGAAACAATTAAAACAAAAGCTCATTAAACGTGTTAGTGGATTTCATAATATTCTAATGTAACGGGGTAAATGTATAAGAAATTAGACTTTAGTGTAAGAAGATGTAAATCCTATGACCTGGTTAAGACCCCTCGAACTCGTACGGTAATTCACTCAAAAAGCCTTGGAGCGATAAACTAATACACAATAATCCATGTATAGATAATAGCGATTTCGGTTCACTATTTATGACTAGGTACCCGCGGTGGTGCATATTGCAAACTCCCATATAATATATAACTATCAATCCCGCACAGCTTTTCCGTATCAATACGAAAAATATGTAAAAAAAAAAAAAAAAAAAAATATAAAAACGTGTTTTCCCCGTTTTGGCACTTTGATGCCACATCTTCAAATGAAGTTTCGATCAAATTACTAAAAATCCAACAATGAATTAAGCATCCGGTTTATAATATGCTGTTCGTTGAGCGTAAACCTTGTGACAATAATTACAGCTTTACCGTATAATGTATTTGTTTATTTTAACCTTTTTTTTTTTCCGTATCACCAATTAAGTAATCTGTATGTATGTATATTTTTTTTTTCAGTATTGACTATTTACTATCGAAGGAATACCCAAAATTTAGTTTTTATATAAACTCATGGTTGGTATCATTGATTATTCATTTATTTTCGAACGTTAACCATTTATTCTACATACAAAATTTCAAAAAAAAACAACAAGACAATGTATTTCTTCTCCAAAAAACATTTTGACGATAGTAGGTAATAAAGCTAATATTATAAAATGACATGCAATATTAAATTTAAAATTAGTCGTAACATAATATATGTACACCTAAAACAACAACGTTTCAAAAAAAAAAAAAAATATATATTTATTTGCCCATGTTTGTGACGTACTATAATATTAGATACTGAGTGTAGCGAAGAAACTTATAGTTTTACAATGATTTATTTTTTTTTTTCTATGAACAACTTTTCTCCCAGAAATATTGCTCCGATTTAAAAGTGTAGCACTTTTTCTGAAAAAAAATCTGACTGGGGTAGTACATTAAACAAGTCATTTTTCGATATTTGCAGGAGTTTTCCCAAAAAATAGGAAAAACGAGAAAATCACAAAATTAAACAAATATTATTAAAGAAAATATGTAATGCCTATTTAATTATTTCGCTACAATATGACATATATATATATTATTGATAAAGCATCACTGTCAACTTAACTCCGCTTAAAATCGGTTTTTCATTAACAATGGTTTATCGTTGCTTACAGATATATATTAAATTACCTATAACGGTGACTGCACCCATCCCCATTATCCTAGGACGTCTTTTTCCATTATTATTTCACTGGAGGAGCGGCGAACGTCACTTTTTTTTTATAGAAAGACGGTACTCACTTAAATAATAATAAAAAAAACCGCCGTCGGTTATCAGTCCGACACCAGTTCGGCAAAATAAAGGTGTGGTAACTACTTTATAATATTCCCTCTAATAATAATCCGCGATAAATAATAAGGGATGGGCTCCAGGGAATTTTCAACCACCGTCGCTGTAATAATTGTGATGTCAGTATTTCGCGTATGGTGACGTCTTTGTAGGATTTGAATACCTAGTGTTTTTTTTTTTTTTTTTTTTAAATCATCGCGTCAAAACAAATCAAAATGTCAGTATCTAGTAAATTTAAAAATGTGTAATGGAAGCTCTGATAACTTTCTCAGCATAAAGCCATGAGAGCTTATTCCTTCGCATCCACAAACATCCGTGCTTGCCAAAAACTGCACAGTGCAATTAGCTCCATTATCTTTTTTTTTTTTTTATTTATCTAATCAATTATATTGAAATCTAAATTATAATAATACATTTTTTTTTCGGAATCCACACGGTTTTTTTTAAAAAAACTTCAGAATTTGTAAAATTTCATAATTATGTCCACTTACAATTATTTGTAAGTACTAAATTAACATTTAAAATACTGGAGTTGTATATTATATAAAAAATAGTTTGTTAAGTTGATAAATGCACAAATGCCACAAATAGGCACAGTTAACATTAACAATCTATTGGTTAAAAGTACTTTTTATTTATATTATATTAAATATTGTTAATCATAAGTCAATAAGCTTGTTAATTTATTAATAATTGTTAATTATTCATTATTTCACCACATAAAATATTTACAATCGATCTGAGCAGACTGACATATTGGTTTTAACCATGCAGAATAACGGAGCAACCCACTTGCGCCCATCACCTTTTTCATAGTCCATTTTCGCGCGTAATCATAACTCATTTGCGTCCAAAATATTTTTAATAAAAATGCTTTAAAACCGTGTAATGTTGTCGACCTGTATTCTAGAATACGATGCAATACAATTATGGACTAATCTTTTTATTGCATTATTTTTAGGTTTTATGTTACATCTTTATCGGTATCACTATTAATATTGGTCAATTTTATCTTAATTGGACTTAATAACAGTTCTCTCTCTGAATGCGTTGTGCAGTGTTACACAAATTACAAAAAACACAAGTTATTTCATGTGTATAAAAATGGATTTTAAAATAACAAGTACTTTTAAAAACTGTCAATGTTTAATTTTTCGTAAATTTAAATTCCAATTCAGTAGAAATTTGGTTTCAGGAGATATGAGTTGGCGTTTCGTAAAAAAAAAACATCATGACAGCGTTGTAGGTGAAATCGACGGATATGGGTTACACATTGGCAGATAGTACCTTATCTTTCGGGCTCATATGTCCACATCCCTTGGGGCGCAAATGGGCTACTCTGTGATGCAAATGGCTGTAACCTGTTATAATATTATTATACGATAATACATTTTCTTTAAATTACTTAAAAAAGAACAAAAATTTAAAATTTGACTTGGTCTAGTAGATATCGATAAGAGGAATCCGGATAATAGAAAGTTCAATCCCCGTGGGCCCGCTGCCATAAATACGTAACTTCTCACTATAAACAACAAAAAAATACCAATACGTTCCTCGCTACGCTCAGAATCTAAAAAAAAAAAATCAATTTTCTCCACAAGACGGTATACTTAATGTGTGCATTATATAAAAAAGCAAATAACATGCGACATTTATATTATTAATTTCCGATTATTATTATTTTTTTTTTTTTTCGTAAAACGCGCACTCGAGTAAGCCCTGCGTGTAAACGATTGTCGTGGTTTCGATTTGGCAAAGCGACTGCTCGAGGAGGGGAAAAACCGTCATCGGAAATAAATTAAACATAAACGAAATGATATTTGATTATACTGACAGCCAACTCGTGTACAAGTAAATAATATACATTAATAATAACCGATGGCGAAATATACATAGAAGATCGGAAGAACTTGAATGAAAATCTGCAAGAGGCGAGGCGTATAATTTTATCGAACAGGTACTGGATTTCAACAACGCGTCGTTAGTACATTCGGTCAAAATTTTCTGTCAAGTTGCCGGTTAAAAATGTAATCAAGGCAACCCGTTTACTGAATATTGTCCACAATTAACGTTGACCGAAAATGATCGAAAATATTTTCAAAATTTTCGGTTTAGTAAAAAAAAAAAAAAAATGTAAATCATGTTGAAAGCTATTAGGCTTCTTTATTAGGTTCATGTTTCAAAAATTTAAAAGCCAATGATAATAATTAAAACAAAAGTGTACCAAATATCGTGTATTATTCGACACTAAATTTAATTATACTGTCCGAGCACTAAAATAGCTTTTTTGGAGAAAAGAAAGAAGAAATGTAGTTTTATTATAACTATTACGTTTGTATTTTAAAAAAAATTATTGTTATAATACAAAAAACAAAAAATGCGTCCAAATGATGTTAGGCGAAGTTTCGTATTTTATGCATTCAATTGTATTACGTCGAAATGACCGTGTCCATTTGACACGTGACCAAATTACTTCATTTGAAATGACGTAGAATCCTGAATATTTACGATTTACCGATTCATGGTTGTCATCGCAGAGCATAGAGTTGCTTAAAATATTCCAGATACGGTGTCGGGAAATATAATATGATTTCGGCCCTCGGGACTCGTCTATATAGCAAGGGGGTTAAAATAACTACCCCTTGCACGAATGATGTATATCAGAGTCTCTTTTATTATATTAAAATATTATAATATATTCAATTTTGAGGAACATCAAAGGACGAGGAGACGTATTGCAAGTATTAGACATTTTGCACAAACTTTTATTTTTAACTTCACTGGGCATATTTTGTAGGTATAATGTGGTTTATTGAATAGCTGGATCGTGATTCCATAAATATTGCTTGTTATATTCTCGTTAAATCCGTTCTCATTTGGACGGATAGAAAAAAAAAATCGGATAAGCAGAGAGTTAAAATTATTTTTATAGATGAAGTGAAAAAATATTCAGACAGGATGTGAGTATCAATAAACTATGATCATAATATATCGTGATATCTATTCTACG